CATCCATCTAACCATCCATCCAACCATCCATCCATCCATCCATCCATCCATCCATCCATCTAACCATCCATCCAACCATCCATCCATCCATCCATCCATCCATCCATCCATCCATCTAACCATCCATCCATCCATCCATCCATCCATCTAACCATCCATCCATCCATCCATCCATCCATCCATCCATCCATCCATCCATCTAACCATCCATCCAACCATCCATCCATCCATCCATCCATCCATACCTTCATGCATAGACTGATTACATTCAAACTTCTAGAACCATATACAGATGCAGTAATAGTTTGATAGTTTCTGTGATAGTTTTGTGATATTGTCTTGTAAATTTCTATAAATATGTAAAATTCACTAAATCCAACTTAATGAAAAAAAACTGTTAACCCCTATGATAGATGCAATGGATGCAAATTGGGAAGGTTTCAACCAGTCAAATTGCATGTCAATGAAAGTCGAGTAGCGTATTTATTAGGCTGTTTGTTGCATAATCTGAGTTATTAGATATTAGGTTACAGGATATAACCACGGAAATTGTAGAGTGACCAGTGGTCAATTTAAGGTGACATGATACAATAAATAAACATTTCTGAAAATTTGACAGTAGCTGTGATCTAGTATTTGTTGAAGTCAACTATCAAATGTCAGTATCCCCACTTTATAGGTGAGCAGTATAATCACTAAATGTATATATTTGTTTGTTTTTTCTTTATTTAGTTGTTGCTGGTGCAGTGGAACATGGTAGTCAATACCAACTGAATTTATTGTATGAACATAATTTACAACGAACATCGTTCAATATGACGCATGGACCTTTTGGTGGCATTAAAGGTAAGTGGAGTTTGTTCAGCAGTGTTCTCCCTCCCCAGGCTACAAACAATGTAGTAGTAGTAATGACACAGTGCTTAGTTTCACCACTACACTGGTCTGACCCTGCCATCGTCATTATCCTGACTGCTACAGTGCCATTCCCACTGTGCTATTGCTTTTACTTTTTAAATCAGATTGATAAATTGCTGAAAACTTGCATGTAGTTGTGTCATTCATGATGCAATAATATTTTAGTAAGTCAATAATTTTGTGCAGTGTGTAATTGAGCAGGTTAAAATAATCATCACAATTTCTGTTTGGAGTAATTATGCAAATAATAAGCAAATTTTATGCAAATCAATATGTAAATTGTTATCGCCACAGTGTTTCAAATTTCTTGGGAAACACTGTTTAGTATTTGTTTGCAGTCTGTAATGTATGTAAAGAATACCATATTATAGTTGACTGCATTCAGTATTCATGATGTTACTGTTTGTAATATAGATGTTTTGGGAAGGCCTAATCCACTAGCTGAGATTAATTCTCCAATGGATGCGACTTTGAGAGAACTTTTCGGTATGCAGGTGCTTGTATTCGCCATGGCCTGGTCGATACTTGAAGTACTTCATTATCAGATACTGTTAATGCATTAATTATTCGTTGAGTTTTAGTTTCTCTAATAAGTAAAATCTGAAATAACAATAGAACTCATTGTTTTACTGGTAAATTCATAAACATAAAATTCAGTGAATATGTTGAAATTATCAAAATAGTGAAATCAAATGTCAGTAAAAATAAATTGTTTTACAGTACTTATAACAGGCCTAAAATAATAATAAATATCTGTAATACCCTCCCACCCCCTCATATTTCATGTTGACTCAAGATATAACTGAAATATAATTTGTTAGAGAGCACATTGCTGGCAGTGAATGAACTATATTTTGAATTAAGTGTCTGAAAGGATTACAAAAGTAAAAGTAGATAATTTCTTCTTTTCTACATTGTTTCTTTTTTTTTTCGTTTAATTTGTCAGGTAAAGATTTTCTGTGTGTACAAAGTATGGATGGTACTGTGTCTGTATTTGAACAGGAAAGCTTTGCATTTAGTAGGTATTTGCCAGGATTTCTCATACCTGGGCCGCTACGTTACGTCCAAAGAACCGACTCATTTGTAACCGTTTCGTCAAGTCAGCAAGTGGAAAGCTACAAATATCAAGTACTGGCTGTTGCTACTGATGATTCTAAAGATGAATCACAGAAGATATCAAAAGGAAAGAGAATTACTGTGAGTATATGAATGCTGTGATAAACATTAAACAGTCACATAGATGTTCTCTGATATTGTCAGAGTAATTTTTCATTGCTAATTAGTAAATTTAGTCAGAAACATGAATATATATTTTGTGACCTTAAATTTTATTTTATTTTTCGACATGACATACCAATCTACTATTGATCATATGCATTTACATGACAATAATAAAATCTAAATAAAATTTCAAAAGAGCACTGTCAAATACAGATGTTACTTGCTATGCAAATTACAGTGGTTTGTTTTTGTTATTTCCATGAAATGGAGGTTACCGTGAGGATGCCACAGCAGCAAGAGTATTGATCACAAATTCTTGCAGATTTCGCTAGTCAGTGAAAATCATGAAAATTTGCAACAGAAAAAATGTGTCTGCCTTCCTACGCGGTGGAATGTCTGCAACTTTCATGAAATTTTGTCTGTACAAATGCCATCAAATCTTTAAAACATGAAATTGAATTGGTTTACAGTACATTTACATGTAGTTCAGTATGAACACATTGAAGTCCTGGCAGTATATTAGAATTACAGATCAAATTTAAACTTACAAAACATGTGACAAAATGACTGATTATTCTTTCAGATGGATTGGAGCTTGAATATTGGTGAACAGGCGTTAGATATATGTGTCGTAAATTTTGTAAATAGTCCACCGTCAATATTTATATTAGGTGAGTCTAAAGCTGACAGGTGTGATTATTGGGGATGCACTTGTATATGTTTAGGCATGTGCACATGTGGAGGGATTGGCAAGAACCAGTCATCACACCCAAAGTATAAACTAATCAGGGTCTTATGAATTTGAAATTGCCTGTCAAAATGTTATTTGGGACATTTATATTGGACAAAATAGTCTAAGAACAAAGGAAAACCCAAAAGAAAAAAATTATAAAGTGTTGCCTGTGTCAAAAGAAATAGTTGCTTCAAAAAATTGACAGGCTGGCTACCTAATAGCTATCTATCTGGCTATATAGTACACTGAAACAGAAGGCATTCATTATTCCCTGATGTGGTTATAAAAATAAACATTTATGTGTCTTGGTTAATAACAAACTTATGAGCAATGTTGTCACAGCAGATTGTGAAATAGTGCTAATCAGTGCATGATGATTTTTTTTAGCCATGTGCATACTGACTGGCAAAAATGTCAACGAATTACATCACAGTGCATCATTTTATATCTGCAATGATAGTGGTAAAATTGTAATATGTCATGGTCTGTGTAGTTAATGATGCCAATAAAATACTGTGAAAATGATGAGTAACTTGAGAAAATAAAAGTTAGGGGGGGGGCAGTTGTCATGCCGCGTCCTGTTCGATATGGGACTCATAGCGACGTATACAACGCATATAAAATACAATGTTTATTTACATGAAATTTGAACACGCGCTGCGCAACGACCACCGCGCTTTAACATTTTTATAGAAATACTCTCAGTCTGTTAGATACAAGATTTCAATCCAGGCAGCCAAAGAATTGCATTAAAACAAAGCTGGTGACCTCTGTGTTGTACAATGTACAAGTATTTGTGTGTTGGGTGATTAGTTTGAAAATGAAATAAAATTATCTTAATATTTTCATACAAACTACATTTCAATAAATATTTCATCACCTCTATTGTCTTTACAGGAGAAAGGAATTTATTTTGTTTGAAGGAAAATGGAACTTTAAGATTTATGAAGAAATGTGAATATAATCCATGTTGTTTTCTGCCATATTCAGCAGGTATTCTAGTCTCATATTGTGTCAGTTACAAATGTTGTCCATATACATTATTTCACTGGATTAAATACAATTAGTGATTTGGACAAATGATAAATAAATAGTACCGGTAATCTATTATGCTAGTAAACCAGGAATTCATTTAGGTTGAGCATTTTTTTTTGGTTTCATTAGCAAAGGATCAATCTTGTCAATTATATAATTTGGAGTGCAAACATTCTGTAGTCACAGATTCTATTTTTTAAACTGTCTCAAGGCTTTAAACAAGGCTTAAACTCCAGTATTCTGGGGGCTCCCAATTTTAAGGCCAGATTTGTTTGAATTGTCATTAGGCAAAAACAAAAAAATATTTTGCTTCTTGTCCTAGAAAAAATGCAGTGTGTTTTAATTTTAATGTATTAAGGTTATTTAATATCACAACAATACAAGAAATGACGAGAAACAAAACCTATTTATTTTTTTGGGCCTTAAATGTTTTTGAAGGGTATCAAGGCATTCAGTTGAATTTTGAGCCATGCAATGATTGTGATCAATGTATTCAACATTATGAGCTAAGAACACACATTACCAAACTCATCCGACTTAGTGCTCAATGTATCATTTTTTTAGGGGTGTGGCCAAATGTGACCCCGAAAATAGAAAATGTCCTAAAAGTAGGGGAGGTGGACATTTAGTCGAGCATGGACACTAAGTTGGATGAGTGTGGTATAAGCCATGAAAGAGGATGACCCACTTTTCAATATCACACAAATCACAAATTAAATTATTTAAATTTATTTTATTCTCTTTTACAGTAAATGATGGAACGATAATGACAATGATCTGTACACACACTAAATCACTGTTAGTCTATGAAGATATTACTTTAAAATGGGCAGCTAAATTACAACATTCACCTGTGGCAATCAGAATTGCAAATTTCCAGTAAGTACTATGAGGTTATAGGATCAGGTATAGTTATCTCAGTTTTACAAGCTTTCCAATAAAGTCACTAGTTTTCGTATTAACATCACAGTGTTATATGTATTCAACCCTCACACATTTCCAAATATAGTGACTGTATATTAGGTACATGTAGGTCTCTGTTAGCATGTAATATTTTGGGAGCAAAAATAACAACTTCTATATTTTTGGCTAGAACTAGACCACCTCATGGCTGTGGTGAAGCATGTCATAAAGAACGCTTCCAAATGAGGTCATGAAACCAAGGGCTAGGGTCATTAATGATGGCTAAATCCTATTGTTTTTGCTTTAATCTTTACGTTCTTGCTAAATGTCGTGGTATTGAATTTTCAGTGTCATTACAAAATATATAACTGCTATGTTTCCCGTCTAATACAGAGATTTGAAAGGTGTCATAGTAACACTTAGTGATGATGGTCACTTGAACTGCACCTACCTGGGTACGGATCCGTCATTATTTGTTGCTCCGTCGCCAGAGTCTCGGGAGATCAATTATGCAGAATTGGATGCTGAAATGAGAAACTTACAAAGGTCTATCAAAGAAGCCACACAGAAAGGTGCCGGTGAGTATGCATGAATGAATGGATGATGCCGTGAGTTAAAATAATAACCTAATTGGTCAAATCTCTAATTAACCAATAAAAATGCTGGATGATGCCAGCATGTTCAAATTACCATAGCACATTTGAATATGTTAATGTTATTGAATGCAACACGGAAGAGATTTGCTATGTTGTCGTTCGATCTCTTGGCTTGTTTTTGATGGGAAAACGACATGATTTTGTTTTCAAAAGACTGAGCATTAGAAGAATAATTTAACATTGCTGACAGTGATAACAGCTCATTGTCGAAACTAAGCTCACCCATTCACGCTAGTCACAATAAACATACTCTTGAATAAAAACTATTTTAAGCGTCAGGAAAGATTGAAATGTCCAAAACATGACACCAAAATTTTTAAAAAATAACTTTAAAAACTGTGCGATTTCTTGGTCCCTTTTTATTTATTTTTTAAACCCCGAACTGTCGTTTAACGACCCAGGGCGAATTTACAGCATAATCCGGTAATCCTTTGCTGCTTTTTCAAATAGTTTCAAAACATGATGGCTCAAAAAAATAAGTTTTTATTTTTTCAATATTACCGTTAGGGACGACGTCAAAAGATTGATGTCGGATAAAAAACTTATTTGCTTTAGTTTTTTTTTGGGGGGGGGGGGGTTGACCTCAAAAAGTTTCCATCCTACAAAAACGATTTTATTTTTTAATGAAGTCAAAAAAATCTTGGAGTATTTGTAGTTTTTTTTTTTTCTATGCAATCATGGACAGAAATAACAGAAAATGAAAAAAAACACACATCCAAGACGAGAAAATGGTTTGGTCCGAGTTTAAATATATGCGTCAAATGAGGTGCATTTGTAAAGTCTTTTTACACCCACCCGACAACCAACTGCTATGCCATACTACTGTCCGATTATCAATTTGTATTTAATGGTGAATGTAGCCTGACGCCATGACCAATATTTATCAATTAAGTTTCATTGGTGGTGGAGGGGGTTTGAACAAAACTAAAGGAATTAAGTTTTTTATCTTTTGACGTCGTCCCTTACTTAATTTTGTTTTTTGTAGACATTGCACCAAGAAGAGCACAGGATGATGATCTAGAAATAGTCGTGTCAGTCCCTCCAAACTTAGACAACACCTCGGTAAGTATGACAAAACTCTGAAGTCGGGTCATCTATATTGTCAATAATGTTGAGAGAAATTAGGAAAATATTGTTTTTTGACTAGTGCATGTAATACTGTAACCACTCATTTTTTCCTGCTAGTAATTTTATGGTATTCATAAAAACACAATTTGTAGAAAATCGCTGTATTGTACAACCCCAGAGAACAATTTTCCCTGACTTTGCACGAAAACTGAAATATTATCTCCTTGTGGTGTTAAATGCCAAAATGGTGAACTTTTTGATTTAATCCAATAGGTGACCAGTGACCTATTTTGAAAATATATTATTAAGTGTACACATGCCAAATATAAAACATGTTGAAAGGATTTAATTCTGCCCTACTGTATGTATATGTAAAATAGGGGTGCAAGGTCATTTTATTCTATGTCACATGCCTAAAGGTTGTACTTTCATCTAAATATTTAGCTTAACGGCGACAAAAGGCTTCTGTTATTTAGAAATTAGATAGCTGAAACCAACAACTGTTTACTTGTGCAGTCATTTTTCATTCAGAATATAACAAATGAATCAAATAATTATAATACCTCTAACATGGAAAACAATAAAAAATATATCTGCATTTGTTTGAATGTTCCTGGGGTTTTGTTAAGAGCCGGTCGCCGACCATATGGCCTGCTACAAGCCCAAATTGGCCGTCTATTCTCTGCCCCCCAACCGCCTATTAAAGCCGGTCTCGCTGCAGCAGTTTGCACTGCCGAGAGCTTTTTTTTTTTTTTGGCCTGTTGTTACAAGATGATGGCCTGCTATTAAATGCATTTGTGAAACCCCTGTTGTTCAAATTTGCTATTAAATATTTAGAGTAAACTCTACCGAACATCACCAACATTGACACGATCAAGATTATTGTTGTCATATTCGAACACTTTTTCTTTGTTAATATCGAATGTACGTGGAAGCACAATATTGCAAGATTGAAATAGAAATTCTGACGTTGAACATTCACACATTCATTTTTATGTGTCATACATGTACAAATAAATTAAGTAAGGTTTACATAAGAATACTGCAAAGTATACTCTCAGGCAGTACTGGACTACTTTGACCTCCATTACGCATCTTGCGATGTGATCGCCGTACTGCCTTCATGCATACCTTGCAGTGTTTCTGTGATAACCATCATATTATGTTGACTACAAATCCAATGAACTCTGTGAACCACCTTTTCTTCACCATTAACACTGAACCCCTACATCGTTAGAATGCTTGTAGGAGCCGGGTATTGTGTTTCCTTATAGGTAAATGTTGACGCTGTCCAATAAATGTTGTTTCTTGATCGGTGCTTCAGATCAGTTAAAAAGATATGTTGTCATGGCAATGTATTGATACGCACATAATTAATAGATTGTTCTTCACATTGCTTGAAGCAAAATGCATTCTGCTTAGACTGATCTAAAACTGATTGACATGTCTCATCGTGTGTCTTTTAACCGATAATGGATTGCTTTTTGGAGAGGAAATAACCAATAAGTGTAATTTTGGCTGAAAGTGCTTCTTACTGCTTTACTTATTGTTGTGTTTAAGTGCATGAATATCCATCCAGTTGTGTTTTATTTTTAAAGGTTTCCAAGTATTGTATGCCAGATAATTCATGGGTAAGCAGTATAGTGGTGTGTTTGTGGTGTCCGTTATGCATGCCCCCATGGCTTAATACATTCCACACTTATATATACAGCTGTAAATGTCATGCCTGTTGAGTTCTAACTTTAATATTTAATTTTTCACTAACCTTATTAATCTTGATACAAGGATGTTGGGTTTTTCTGTTTGAATACTAATATGTTGGAGAGTATCTGTTAAGGGTCTTATAGTTCGCCCTCATTTTGTAATCCTAAAAAAACATTCAAGGATAACTATACCTATACATAATAAACATACATTCTGTTTTGATCTAGGAAATGCATGTAGATGCTCTTGAGCATTCCAGAATTGCTACATCCATTCAGATCTGATTAGTATAGTACTTTATATCGATACTTTATATCAGTGCTTGAACTTCACAGAGGCATAAATGGGATTGCCTCAATGAGCAATAGGGTTTGCTTCGTTTTCCTTAAAAAAAATTACAGATTACAGATTTCTACTATCGATTTCTAATACTGTCTTTGCTCTTTTTGTTGCGCATACACATACAAAAATTACAGAGGTGTTCCATGGTCAAAATAAGTAATATTTTTATGATTCAGTATACATCATATCTGAATTTTGGTTCATATGCAAATCTATTGGAGATGTGCTTTGAATATTTTGCAAATAAGCTGAGGCAGTTTTATTGAATTTTGAAAATGGATGCCCTCTGACCCGTGAAATTCAAGCCCTGTTTTATCAATATAAGGTACTGTCTGAATGTAGTAGCTGTGTTCTGAGTAAGAAAAAAATTAGGATTATGGATGAGGCTACACTGAAGACTCTTTCTGATCTTTGTCAACTTGTTTTTTTGCTTTGTTCATAAATTATTATGATACATTAACACACATTTGTTGCAGTGTGTGCGTTTTCATATTTCCACAAATAATGTTTTCTGGTGATGGCCTGCACCATTTACTTTAAGTGGGGCTGGGAGGTAAGGTGCAGGTTTGGTAGCTTTTTGGGTCAACCATCTCCATCGTGAGAGTATGTGGCGGTATTTTAGGACTGATTAGAATTATTAGGACGCCCTCTATGGTGTACTCACTTATATAGTTTGTGGCCATAGAGGGCTGTAAGTTACAAGTAAAATTTTGTTCAACATTGAACTTATAAAGCATGGACTGAGGTTAATAGATTCATTACTCGCCAAATTACTGCACATACTGGTATTGAACATTTGTGCTTTCTGTTCAATCTGAAATGTATTCCTATCACCACATAACTAGCAGTCATTGTATGTGCTGAAAAACATTTCTAATAGAATTTGGTTCAGGAAACAGATTCAAAAATTATCTCCATTGAGTTAAATATAAATCACTACAATGTTTAGTCTAATGACTACTACAAAATATATTTCTTGTCTTGACCATTGTGACTACTGTAGAAACATTATTACTGAACTCAATAATGATTGATTATTTCAAATAGCCCCGGGAAAGTATATATTTTTAGAATCGCCAGACTTCAAGCTTT